CGAGCAACCTACTTTTTTCACCTCCGTCTCGCGAAATAAGGGAAAAGCCCCCGGGAGAATAAGAAAAAGTCTAGAAAAAAGATTCTTAAGAGCAGCACGTGGATTTTTAATAAAACAGTTGTGGTATGCCCATCATGTTCGGTTGTCGATAGTGCAGAACAAGATTTTCTGAATTTTCTCGATCTAAAAGGGGCGGAGATGGTGTAGTGGCAAGCAGCGCAATGTCACACGCGCATGGTTCCAGGGCTCGGATCCGGATCAATATCCGCCTGGGCCATCCAAGCTTCCATCCCTCCGGGTTGGTTTATTGGTACGAAGCTCGTCTGGGAGGATAAAAGCTCTGATTGTACACCGGGTGACCAAAGTCATTGTATCGGCCACATACGCACTCAATACGCCAATACGATTCTGAATGGAAGTCGAGTGATGGAGCGCATCCCTCAAACAGGATTGATTAAAGCCAAAAACTTTATCGATTTATAAGATTTTATACCTCACCTTTTTTTATATCTGCTTCATTTTTCGTGGGCTTTCAGAACATTCTTTTGAAATTTTCATCGCAGCATCTAGAACAGCTTTCGTTGATAAAACCCAATTTCGATCGAAACAAAAGGATAAAGTCCTTTGGATTTGTTGAATTCTTTCGAGGATGACTCTAAAGCCTTTTGGAGTTGATGAATCCCTTTTGAGGATTGACACTATCCCTTTCGACTTCCGTTCAGAATCGCAATGGGGTAATGAACGCGCTGGTAGTGTGAACAGTGACTAGGTTGGCTTAGGTGGATATAGATACCGAACAATACCCATCAAACCTCGATCCTGGATTCGGACCCATAACCCAGCGTGTGCGATAGTGCGCCTCCTGCCGCGCCGCTAAATACACGACCTCCGCCCTTTCGAGAACTGAGGAACTAAGGCTAATCACAGTACCCTCTATGACCAAATACGGGATTAAGCATCACATGCTAAACGATCTTCTTCAAGTTCGAACATACTGTCAGCGGTATAAGTAGCTTATCGTTTCCATGGATATTGCTTTCGTCTACAACCCAGAAATGAACCATTTCTTCCATCACTCTTCTAGAGATTTCAAGAAGGCTATAAGTTGCATAAGCACTTGGTGGGGTTTGACAGAAGTATGTAAGAAACCGCCATATGATCGGTACCTAACCCATGAATATGGAGCCCTGCGTCTTTGCCGGTTTGAACTGAGACCTTGTTCAGAGCTTTTCTAGGGTGAGGGGGAAATAGTGTGGCCATCTACCTCTCCTACAGACCCGCCCGACTGACACATGGGTTACACCAAGGAGGGAGGCAAAAAAAACGTATTGACTGCGTTTCTATCACTATTTCATGCAAGCAAATGTGTAGGTAAAAACAAAATTAGGTGAAGTGCAAAACAAATTTGAGAACTTCTTGAAATTCTGAAGGAACTAGAAAGTCTTCTTTTGATTCTTTTGTTTTTTCAATGACAGTATCACAGTCGCCCCTGCTATTCTTATCACATGAGACAAAATTAGCCTATTTAATTACCAGGCTAATGTGGTCGAAGTTCTGAAGCTTTATGAAATTCATCAATCTGTCTCATCGGGAACGCCTACCTGCTTGATGCTCATTTGATGAAATGCGAGAGACAGCTGAGGTACAAACCTATCCATACAAAACTGCTATCATGTGAACAACTTCAGGAGCAAAAGACCTCGATTTTTATGAACGGGCACAGAAGATATCTCCATGTTATGTGTTTGACTATTTGACGGTTTACTGTCACCTCCACCCCACGACGGTACCAAAAACTTCGAAATCCTCTCGGTCGATTCAGCATAACTAACAAGACGTCGTTCATGGGAAGGTACCAACGGGAAAGCTTCCATGGTGCAGGCAACTTTGAATTTGAAAAGGGCAGTTATGTCCCCTTTTACCTGAGTTTCAACTTCGGAGCTGATTAACCCCATTTCAGAAGGAACCAATTTTCCATTCTCTATGGCCAAGTCAAAGAGTAAGGGTTTGCGGGAACCTGTCGAAGGTCATGTCCGCTGGAACTGATTTTTGGCATCTTTAATTGAAACGTTTTTGAGTTCTCCAGAAGTCAATGACAACCTATGGGCCTTCCTCATTCCATAAGCTAATAGTGGCCTTCATCTCGAGCAGTGGTAAGAGTCAATAAGAGGTGTCACTTTGCACAGGAACCATGGTAACTCAAGGGATATATGTAAATAGATGATGGGAGAAGATGCAATAACATTCCATACATAACAAAGATAAGTGAAAGGGGTTAAGGGCTCAACTCCGAGGGTTAGAAGTGGAAGTTCAGACGGTTGGTTTAAAAAATATATGACAGAAATTGTTTAAGTAGAGTTGAAAGCACCAGGTAGAGTCTCGAGTTACCGTTGTTGGCGCTGGCATGAGGAAGACGAGCAATCGACTAAAACGCCTCTGGTCTGATTATCCTGGCGTAACTCTCATACTGCGATTATGATGAGCGCTCTAATCAGGCCCCTAATCCGGAGAAAAGACAGCTGCGAATTCGCCACGGGAATACGGAGGTACTGAGAATAAGCGATGCTATTGAAAAAGCCTAGCATTCGATTCCATTGTATTATATGATTCATTTGCGATTGTTCGACCAACAGTTAATGCGTCCTGATCTACAACTTTTATCAGAGGTTTTAACAGCTCTCATACGTAGAAGTAGTAAAAAAAAAACCCTGCATAGTGAATGTAAAAAGCTATATGTCGGTACAGCATGGGATATTGAATGCAAAGCTTGTATCCCGCCGCAATCCGGAATTTGTCTTCGGTTTTGTTAGCCAAAGATGAGCCTTGGCTGCTCCACTTATATAATTCATCTATTTGTTTACCCTCTATGGTGTGTTACAATTAGAATTATGATTATAATTCCATGAGAATTGAAAGCAATCCTCTTATATATAATTCACTGTGTCAATAAGAAAGGATTTCGAGGAGTAAATGAGAGTTAATTAATAAAGAGTCATTTATGTTATTCATTTGTTTATTTATAAGATGAAAAGGTGCGCCACTAGATAAGCTTAACAGAGGAGCAATACATAGAAACATAGAAAAGCCACCAAAACTGAAACCGTGCAATTAAGTGCTTCATACACCAGATGTCATACTTGCATTTAAATCGTAATGGAATGGAATGAAGTAAAAGATAGTATGCTTTCATTGATGCTATAAGATTGGTAATAGTTTTGATGTTCTCACAAGGTTGGCGATTCGGCCTATTTACCGCAAGGGAAAATAGCACGGTGCCTGGGAAGCACGTAGCCGGATACCCGTCCGTTGATGAAGTATTGCCCACAGATCGACAACATTTGAGACTTTCGCATGCAGCGAAATAAGAGCAGTTAACAAAGCATAAGTCGAAAAAATCATATCAAGTGAGGTTTACCTTAAGGGTTCAATCCTGATATCGATTGGCTGGCTCACCCTGTTGTACGTGTGAGTCTGATAGGCTATGTTATAAAATCTCTTGAGAAGGCGAGGGAAAGCGGAGTTTCGGTGGTGCATGGGATAAGAAGCACTACGCCAGAAAAGCCCTTTTGTTTGCATCACAGCGGATTCTCCGCGCTTGTGGTACATACTTTCCCTAAACTAACACCCAATGGAGTTTCAAGAGGAGAGCATTCGCATTTGTAATTCATCGAATGCATCCAGCAGTTTTCAGCTTTCGTTCTGGTAAACCCACCACCTCTTGCTTTAATATACTGCCGTTCATGTCATCAAGCAGAGCTCAGGCGAATGAAGGAGTGCTGTTGAAGTCAATTCCAAGTCTTTGATTAAACAAGCAGACCTATCAACGAACCAAAGTTCCGACACACTAAGTTACTGCTACATACATATCAGGGGCAATGATTCTCATGATGACCTGATTGAAAACCACTATCAACAACTAACTGGTTACAAATTTAGGTGTGATTCATTCTTCCAAAGGCTTCTCCTGAATCTGTCAAGAAGGCTGGTTTCTTTGATGCTCATCATACTGTTCCACGCTATGGTTGCAATATGGCATATTCTAGCGTGCGACTATATAGTGAGTACAATTTCTCGTTTTCTATTTGCGAAACTCAAATGTCTGCTGTGCAGCCTCCAAAGCCGGAAGAAGTCATGGTTGCGATGACGGAGTATCCACCGGCATCGCGTTCAAAAAGAGAAATACCGTGGGATTGGATACGGATCAAAGCTGAATACGACGATTCAATCAATATGTAAGTTAGGTCGAACTTTCAGATCAAGCTCATCCTTCTGAGACCTGGATGAGTTGGTAAATGATGCTAACTCGATGGAGAGTGGACTCGATATCAACTCTTTTTGATTGGGTCCGCTTCGGACTCCGAACTTCACTGCTTTTCCTAATAGTCGACTTGAAATCTTTCAAGGACGTATCGATATCACTGCGGACCCTACTCTCCCCTTTTCTACTGTACAGGAACTGTTTGTAGAAAAGAACTGATATCATCGCTTGTAGTCACTTGAGTTTTTTATCCTATCTCAGGCAACAATTAAGCACGCTCGCTTAGGCGGAGTAAAGTTGCTCTTCATGTTCTTGTCTTTTAGCTGGTCAGCACTCGCTCCCGTAGACCACCGCGGGTTTATCCAGTGTCTAGTATGCTTTCCCTTACAGGGGCTGCAGCCCAGCAGTCGTAGAGAATATCGGTAGCCTCCTCTTTTCATCCATCCCTTCGTTATCGGGGCTCTTGCAGTTTGACCCAGTAAAGGTAGCTACAGCTCCTCCGAGGCATTTATCAAGGTTTGTATTGTCAGAGTGCACCTCGAGCCTCTTAGCGTTTCTTTTGTACTCTGTCGGACTGAACTGAACAAATTCCATTTTATTATGAGAACACCTATATTTCCGTTTGTCTCCATTTGCAGCAGTAGTTATTTTCTGTAATCCCCTCCAAATATTGCCGGCCGACGCATCCCAGCTAGCCAAGTTGATAATCTTTCTCGTTTCTTGCTCCTATTCCCCTGCCTTCGTGACCTTATTTTGTCCCTCGTTTAACGCTATGTGGATATTCAGTGATCATTACTCACCCACGGCACTCACCTGATAACATCGTCAAGGCACCTGGCCACCTGGCCCGGAGAGAGTGCAGTATCTACTTGTCTTGACTCCTTTCAAACGAATCTTCTGAGGACATGGGACAAGTATGTTCCTACACAATCCAGCAGCCTTTCCGGTCTTCTTTGTCTGCAACCCACGACCCAGCCCCCAGAGAAGCAGTTCGAATTGACCTTTTGAGCCAAATCCCTGATTTTCCTTATCTCTCAAACAAGCAGGGGTTTTGAGTCCCAGTTTTGGGTGATGTATTAGCTCAGTTACTTTTCACACTTGCAACTTCAACCGCCACTGTTACGGCAGAGTTTTTTCCATTTGTCAGTCTGTCAACTACGCCTTTCCCAGTTTTGGCACCCCTTTCATGACTTTCTAGGGGAATGGTTTTCGCATTGGCAGAGATCTATTTTTCACCTTTATTGAGAGTACAAATGGGCATTTGGTTATCAGGTTATCTCCGACTTACTTTTTTTGAAATATATAGGCTCAACGAATGGATGAAGGATAAGCTCAAAGGTCTTGTAAGAGATGTTCTTCACTATTTCGAAACCACGTTGAAAGTACATCGCGTGAAAAGTCTTCAATTTCCTAGGTGAGTAGAGTTCTGTAATTATCAAATTTGTTACGTTAGTAGCATCATGACAACCTCAAATTTACGTACTCAAAAATAGGCAGTGGGATGCCCCATTTCTTTCTAGGTAACAGTAGAATCGTGATCACTGCATGTTCCGGATTGGTTGAAATCCTGAGCTGGCTTAAGAAAAAAAAAAGAAAGAATTGCCTGAGTGGGTTGAAGGCCAGGCTCACGTCGAGGATGGTTTCCGAGATTTCCCCTTTTTATGAACTCATGATCCCCAACGATAGCCTAAGGACGCTGTTGAATCGATAAACATGCAAGATGGCGCATAAAAAGGGTTCTAGAACTGGGTCAGCTGGACCATGATGGACGGGTTCTTAAGGGTTGTGTAAGCTGTGAAGGTTGTGACTATTCGCACTGGGACCCACACCTTGCACGCAAGCAGCATACTGCAGTCAGATGAATGCAATGGCGCGCACATTTGATCAGCCATTGTAAGCTGCAGTCGATAAATGGATGGATGGATCGCAGCCAAAGAAGTTTCACGGGTCCAAGTGAGTTGATTTCAAAGAGTCTGAATGGGAACGATTCATACAAAGCAGCTCGGATGCAAGTTAACTCTAGGACGATGTTCAGAATACGTCCACAATTTACTCATTGGCATTTGAAAGTGTTCTAGTATCAACAGAAATGAAGGAAGTTGCTTGGCGAGGTTCAACCAGTCAGAGTCCTCAATCCCTACTTCTTTGGTCTTGGTCGCTTCTAACTGATAGCTTCTCTCATCTAATTTGGAACATAATGAGTTCATTGAGTCGCAGACGCATAAAGACCACATATGTAGGAAGGCAACTCGGTGAATAAGACTTCATTGCGCAGACAGGAACACACAGTTTTCAACATCAGCACGAAGGAAGTGATTCCACTCCTGCTGCAGATAACTGTATGCATCGGACAGGATTCAAATCCAGACATGAACTCACCACACTGGAACTTTTGTCCAGGAATTTTGTTGGAAATTTTCCAATCGCACAGAGAAGTGGTGGTGGATTAAAAAAANCCGGTGCGACCAGACTTCATCTGGTGACTAGAACTTCGCGTATAGGTTTTTTTCACTTGCTCTGTTCCATGCTTTCCTCTGTCGTCCTTGATTCACCTCAATAGGAAGATTTGTGTCTGACCTTATTATTTCAGGTCCCACGTAGCCGCACCAGACATCAGCATCACTTAATAGAGCGTTTTCGAACTGAAGGAGGGGTGAAAGGTTTTGTTGCTGCTCGACAATTGCGACAATATACATTTACCTTTTATACGGACTCAAGTCTTTAAAAGTATCGCGCACGCCACGCTAAAGAAGAAGAAGTCTCATGCCGACAATTCTGCTTATGTCATTGGATGGTTGAGGAGTTTGATATCTCCAATTTGTAAGCTTCTGTTGATCTCACTACCTCAACGATGCTTCAGAAATGTCAACGCTCTCATATCTGTACTTTTCTAGCAGTTTCTGCAAGACAGTTCTTTCTACCTATCCGTTGAGTACCAGATCATCAAAAACATGAAAACGTCCGCTGTTCTACCCTCTTACGGGATTTAAATACTCAATGATGAACTGTACATTCGTTGGATTCACTACTTCCACATTACCGTTTGTTTTTATGAGGTTTCGACCAAGTTGAATTGCATACGCAGCTTGAGAGGGGTTATTTTGTTTGTGTTTCTAAAAAAAGGTAAATATATGAAGTAAGTATTCAAGCAGTGCTGATTTGTAGAAAGTAAGCAAGGGAAGCAGAGTAACAGAACTTGCACCCACTCTCGAACTTGATCTAAAACAAAGACTTTTCAGCACGTGCACAGGAATGGCACAGCATTTCCATGATGGAACTATATGTCTAGGACAGTGCATAAAACGATGTGGTCCAACTAATGTATCCAAGAGCGTTGACTATTTCAGTGTACGTTTTTTAGTAGTAATTAAACAGCTCGATATTCGCTGTCTGAAGAAATCCACTTGGTGAGTGTTAGTGGAGAAGAGCGTGCTGACCTTCTTAAAGCACTCCCTCGCTGCTCCTCTGAGGTTCTACTGTTGCTGCGCCCTTCCCTCACCCACTTCCTCTATGTAGCACGTAGTCTTTGCTGTTAGTTGAACTCTGAGAATCAATNACAGCTCGATATTCGCTGTCTGAAGAAATCCACTTGGTGAGTGTTAGTGTAGAAGAACCTGCTGACCTTCTTAACCCATTGACGACCGCGTGGCCCTGTCGTGCTCCTGGGACCGCGTGGCCCGTATACGGACCACGGTTTTATTTTTCATATATAACATTCATTTTCGATTTTTTTGTCCCTTTCAAGTATCGAGCAGGTTTATGACCTACTATGGNCTCCCTTTGAACAATCAACATTAGATGCCATAACGTAGCTCTAAATAGTGTGTATGACTTATAACCTTTACATGCCGCATTTAAAAAAGCTTTTTTGTCGGCTGGAAATGCTTACGAAAAATTTACTTGTTCCTAGGACCAGCAGTCCGCGAAAAGCGCGCTCGGTCCCACACGCCAAACACGCTAAAAAGGCGCGGTCGCCAATGGTTCTACTGCGGCTGCGCCCTTCCCTCACCCACTTCCTCTATATAGCACATAGTCTTTTCTGTTAGTTGAACTCTGAGAATCAATAAAATACTCTTCAAACAATGTAGCTCTTAGGAAGGAGTTTGAAGAACACTGACTTCTACCGTTGAAGTTTATCAGCAGTTTTCTGGCTGAAGCTGGAAGAAATCGGCCTTCTTGTTAATTTGGTTTTTCAGTGCTGTAGGTGCGTGATCCGATTCGGTGAATGCGATATTGGGAAATGTGGAGGTCTGTCAAAATTTTCTGATGCTAATTCCTGTATGAGACCGTAAAAAAATACGATCAGAACTGAATTTGCAAACAACGAAGGTTATTAGGAAACAGTTTGAGAGAACCTGATCCATTAGAGAATAAGGTATCTCTCGAAGTTGTTTGATAGTAGAAAATGTCTCCCAATAAAAATTACAAATCATCCTCTGATTTCCTACTTTCATCCTCTCTGAATACCAATATATTTTTTGTTGATGATGCTGCGAAAAGCAGGATGTCCACAAGGTTTTAAAATACGGAAAGGAATAATTTTTCTTAAAACCGAGCTTTCTTCTTAAGATCGTATAGTGGCCGAGCTCCATCGTCCATTCTCTCTTCTCATTAGGTGTCCGGCAAATCTGTGCTTCGCTTCATCGACGTGAANTAGAACGTCTTTAACTTTCGACATTGCTCTGACGTCGGAATTATGAAGTTAGAGCTCTCGTTGCCGAGTCAGTGTTAGACCCAGAAGACGACGCTCAATCGAAGCCTGGGTGGACATTGAATACCTTCTAGTGATTTCGTCAGAGCCCAGGTTTCTCCCGCGTAGCTGAGGGCAGGCAACACCGTTGATTTTAATAAGAATACAAGTATGTATTACGACACTGTTTTCTTCCAAAAAGCATTCCAAGTACATTCCCATACGCAGTTTATAGTAAATTTTCAGGATGGCTGAATGATACCGACTTCGTTCTCTTTGTGTCGTTAATCCGTAACTGTAGGAACACCCAAATTGCCTATGCTGCTCATTGCATGAGCGATATAGTCACCAACAGGCGAGCCTTTCACACTTGAATTCACTGAGCTGTTCGAAAAGAGGGAAGAAATTCTGCTGAGAGCTCCTAAGAGTTTAAACATTCAACTATTTGAAATAACCGCTAAAAATCGAAAACTTACAAACTACGCGACAAGAGAACTACGCAACTCTCTTGCCATATTGGTTCCTGTGCTTATGCGACTATGGCATGCCGCAATCGTCTTATTCTCTGCATCCTAAAATCACGTTGCATTGAATAATTTCAACCTTTGACCCGAAATACGGTTTGGTGGCTAGCCTTACAGAGTCAGATTGATGATTAGCTCGGAAAATTCGAGATTCTCGAAATGCGTCTCGCCTCTTGATTCCATTGGTCGGAGCGATGTTTAACACCACCAGTGGGTGCCACTTACGACTGGAGCATGGGACATTGGCACGTATATTTGGGTGCCATCATACTTTCTTGTTTTTTACCAATTGCTGAATTCAGTAAGCTAGTGAAAGGATTTTCTCCTGGCACAGTGCCACCCACCAGTAGGTGCTCGCGAAAGTCGCGCGCGGAAAAGGGGAGCGTGGCTCCATGGGCGCGTCGCGTTGAAATCCGCATTGTCGTCCAAGGGTTAAGGCACTAAGTTCGAGTCTTCTGAGGTGTGAAGAACCTTTGATTCGACACATTAATCTGGGGTGTGGTGTAACATCGACGTGCACTCGATCTCCATCTCCCGAGAAACTGCCACCCTATTTGCATATCTTACGCAAGTTGTAAAAGTCTGCATTCAACTAGTTTGCAGTAGAGTAACTTTTGCGAAGACAAGATGCGGTATGATACGACTTCGATCTTATTTATTAGGAGCTTTTGTGTACAGCTCAAAACGTTCTGACATATGAACATTTAGCCTCTGAGCACAAGAAAATCTTTTGGGAAGTAACAGTTTTGCAAACGCTTCCGAGCAAATAACTGACTCGTTCGATATTCAGGCCAACAGCTGGTTTCATGAACATTTGTCCGGAGATTTTTTTGAAGACGAAAGCAAATAAGTTGGAGCGATGGAAATCCTTCATCAAGCACGAACTCATTCATGCACTAGTGTTCTCGCAACCGCTTTTTAGCAATTTTCCACGAGTTGGAAGAAGAAAGCCTCAATGGTGCGAGTAATTTCTACATAAAAATAGTCAGAGGTCACATTCAAAAGTTGCGGTTCACGCGGTTCATGAATCTCAGTCACAGTCACACCAATAACCAACGAGCATGTCAGCCTTTGCTACATCTTGCTCGCCTGACGTTGGTTTTTTATTGTAACAGGGGAAGCTCTTCAAAGGTACATTGTGCTGGAATATTTCAGCACCGAGATTCAACCGCTTAGAGCTAGTAATGATATCGCCAGATAACCTTTCTTCATGACTGTCTCAGAGGGCTTTATCATAGCTATAAAAAAAGCTATTTCGGGAACTGTATCAATCTCCCATCCGATTCGTTACACGTAACAAATAGCCCACTGATCTTTTATCAACGTTTTTTCTTATACGACGGAAGCAAATACAGTAGCGCTCAAAAGTCTTCGGAGAAATGCTTTGACGCTTTTTGATTCATAACTTTTTTCTTAGTAGACCAAATCGCGCAAAATTTGGATATGTTTAACTAGAGCATGTTTCACCCTACCCAACACTATTTGACTGCAAAGCTGCAATATCCACAGATAGTGTTTGTTGCGGTAACACATTTTGCTAAAAGTCAGGTTGGTGGCGTCTGCACTTGTTCGCATCTTACGAAGGTTGCCTTTTATATTTTGAGATTTGGCAACACTAGTGTAGCAATCTAGCAACTGACATTACTGTCGTAAAGTTTGACTATTTTGAGGTTAGGTTGCGAAATTTGAGCGCGATTTGTGTT